CATACGTAAAATCCTTGTGCGTTGACCTACGACAACGACTTACGACTACGACTCAGTTGCGATCATCTTTGTGCGCGGACCCTGAATCAGACCGCAGCCTAACTTGGAATTAAATTATCCCCAACAATAATCATATTTATATATAATGGAACAATAAATACTTATATATTAATCAATATTTACCGAAAAATTATTTATTAATAATTATTTTATTAACAATTATTAATTTTTAACTGTAACGAACTATAACGAACACAACGCGTATATCACTGCGCGTGCTAACTTGCCAAGACACTGCCGTGTCTTCTGATTCTAGTCTAGTATTTTCCGGTCTAGTACTTTTCCGAGATTCCGTTTTCCGAAATCCAACTGTCATGGGACAGCACCCTAAAGGCCGCAGCACACAATCTTGCATAACGCATAATGCATAGTGCATAAAGGAATCAACCAATAAAAATTCTTCTTTTTCATGGAACAAGAGGAAAGGAAAGATTCTGATTAGTTGATTCGTTTATGCACTATGCGTTATGCAAAAGTGTGTCCTGCGGCCTTAACGGTTTCTAGCCATACATGTATGTAATCAATATTCCCGTGATAGGTTAAATACATTGGACTTTGACGCTGCTAAAGCCATAACAAAAAAAAATGTTTAATGACATTTACTATAGTAGGAAAAATAATCAAATGATGAAAAATAATTTAAATTGAAATTTAAATAGAAAAATTAAGAAAAAATTATAGGAATATAATTAAAAATGAATGTCTGAAATATTATTTATTAATTTTATTATATTAAAATGAATAAAAGTTCACAAGTATAATTTATAAGTTTAATAAAAAATATTAAAAGTATGTAAAAAAAAATTAAATAATTGAATGCAATAAAATTATATTATAGATTATGCAAAGAATGTCAGTAAGGAATATTCACTCAATATGATAATAATAAATAATACATAATTTGAAATTAAAACTTTTTTAGTACAAAAAAAAATGAATTGTTGATTTTGATTTGTAACATCACAACCATCTTCAATATTATATATTTGTAGACTAAATGATTTAAAAAGCATAAATAGTTTAAAATAGAATCTTCAAACCTATAATTCTATATAAAATTAAAAATTGATTTTATCTTTGGCTTTTTAAGGGGATGCTGGAGTCTTCTTTTTTACCGATAAAACAAGCGTTTATGTTCCTTACGCGGTTCTTCGAATTAGTTGCACAGAATAAAAATTCCTTCTCCACGATTGAAATATCCGTGCTAATGTACCTGCTCCTGGTATATTTTGTGTCCAAAACTGGGAAAAATAATAAATTACAGATTCCTGTATCCATGTGCTATCAGCTCACCAACATTTACTTCGTGAAAAAATTATATGCACGTTATATGCTCGAAATTAGGGCAGGAGCACATGTAGAATAAATAGACGAATACAGTCGTATCTTTAGAATTAAGTTTTAACGCCTAAATAAAAAGATTAGCGCAAGGAACGAAATTGTGTGTCTAGCGCGTGAGAAATCGACGATGTATGACTGTTTAGCCATGAAACCGAGCAGTATTTTAGTTGATCTCTTTCTAAGAGACGGCGTTGCAATATGTTAGATAAGGACAGATGAATGCGTTTGAGTGAGACAAAACGATATATAATAAGTATAAGAAATGAATGAAAGATGTCACTATTGTCGAATTTGGAATTGAAAAAAGTCTGTACTATCGACCTTGATTAACTTCGAACGTCACTCCAGCATCCCCTTAAGATTCATTCCTTAAAATATTTTTAATCTCATATAAATTGATTAAATTTTGTTGAGTGTAGTAGGGATTTCCCTTGCAATGTCTAATCACTGTATCTAAACACATTTGCACTTTTTGAATGGAATCTTCAAGCATTTCACATAACTGAAAATAATTAAAATTTTAATTAAATAATGGGTCCATCTAGATTATATATTGTTACTTATAAAAAAACTTACATCTTCTGCTTCTCCTTTTTCTGATTTTGTTTTTCTTTTACTTCTCTTTTTTTCTTCTATTACTGCTGTACTGTCTTTACTCTGTAGTACTGCTTTTATTCTTTGCTGTATTAGTATTCTTTCTTCGTCTATTACTGTTCTTGCTTCTTCTTCATTTATTATTTGCACTATTTGTGAATCAGTTAAACATTCGTCTTCACTCATAACTCTATGGGAGTTCAGCCAGTCTTCAACAGTAACTAATTCTGTGGTTCTACTAAGCTGATCTTTTAAAAAATTATGAAAATGAACAGTAAGATCTTCATAACCTCTCAATTGGTGCCAAACATCATCAATAATTTCAATGTCATCAGTAGGTGCAAGAACTTTTAAAATATCTGGCCATAACTGAAAGTAACAGAAAGTATGCATTAGTTATTAAATATAAATAAAAAGAAGTATGCATTAGTTGAAAAATTGAAAATTTTTTTACTTACTGCCTTCCATGATTCTGATATTGTAGATTTACTGACTTTATTCCAAGCTGCAGTAATCCAAAAAGTAACATTTCTAATGCTAAGTTTCTTCATAGCTACTGGTAGATTAGATCCAATATTTAACTGATCGATAAAGAAAGACATGACATGGGTTCGATATAAAGTCTTGAGATTTTGAAAAACCCCTAGATACATGGGCTGTATTAAAAGCGATGTATTAGAGGGAAAAAATTCAACCCTAATTTCATCATGCAATAAATTTTCCAAATATCCATCACGATTGTCCATGAACAATACTGCCTTGGGTGGTAATTCCATGTTCTCCAAAAAACTTTGTACTTGTGGCACAAATTGCTCCTTAAACCATTCCTCAAACAACAGTGTTGTCATCCAAGTATTTTTTTGGCTTTTATACACTACCGGCCGAACAGTTAAGCTTTTAAAACCGTGTAGTTTGGCATCTTTCCCTATTAATACTAATGGAAATTTTAATGTGCCACTTGCATTACTGCAAATCATGATAGTTACTCGTTTTCTTTTAATTTTAAATCCTGCTGATTCAGATTTATTGCCAGTACCACTTAATATTGTTTTCGGAATTTGTTTATAATTCAACCCAGTTGCATCGCAATTGAAGACTTGATGTGGTGTCAAATCTTCATTTTTTATTATATTTAAAAAAGTTGTCTTATACTCTTCAGCACCTTTATTATTTAAAGAAGACATACCGGTCATAACATTGCTTCTAATTTTGTGGCGTTCTTTCCACTTATCAAGCCATCCATTGCTTGCTTTAAAATTACCTTCACTGCCAAACATTTTCCAAAATTTCATTGCCTGTATTTTTACTGTTGGACCATATATTGGTAAATCTGTAATACTGTGTTCTTGGAACCATAACCATGTAGCTTTGTCGATTGAAGTATGGATTGGACCTTTAATTGTTTTTTCACCTTTCCCTATATCATTGTTAGTTAGTTGACATTTTTGGAGAGAATCTTTATTTTTCATCCAATGTTTTATTGTTGTTTTATGAACATTAATTTTTTCGGCAACAATATTCACTGGGGTACCTTGGTTCACCTCCTCTAAAGCCTGTAACTTGGTCGGCAAGTCAACATATTCGAGTTTTTTACGTTTTTTTACTTGTTTTATACTCATTTTTATATCACTTTTATACTTATATCACTTAATATTTACTTAATTATTATACTTAACATTTATTCAATCATATACCATAAAACATAACCTCTAATTTTTTACCTACAGCTTAATCATAGGGTGCGTTTCGAGTTACGCATGAAGAATATGTTTTATCCTTCTTTATTATTTGGTGAACAACAAGGACAAATGATGCATCATGCGCTTCAAGCGAAACTCGGAACGCACCCCTTCAGGTAGGGTGCTTTCCAAGGCTGCGTTCAGAAACTTCACTTTACGGGTGATTGCTAGGAGTTGTGTGTATGAAATGGTAGGGATAAGGTACCCTCTCTGGTATGTACATTTCTCAGGGTGATGTCCCATGCAGCGGATCGTGCGTAAGCGTAACTTGCGCCTACCAATCATATCATTTCACTTGAACATCAGTTTCTGTCTAGTCACTATATGCTTTTTACGCTATTTTGTTGTTACGGCGAAACATGATAGAACACTAATAGCGTTTTCGATTGGACAAAAGTTAGTGCGCACCAGTGCGCACTCAGTTCACACCAACACTGGACGAGTTCCATGGGTTGCACTGAATAGTGCAAGTTCAAAAGAATACGCCAA